TATAGGGTCTCCTGCTTGAGCAGGGAGTTAGACTGGAAGACCTTCAAGGCAGTGGTGGGATTCAAAAAGTTTTACCACCAGTTCAGTGGGCATGCTGTGCGCCAGGGGTGGGATTCAATTTTTTTAACAACCGGTTCTGTGGCCGTGGCTTAGTTGGTGGATGTGGCTTGGTGGTCATGTGACTGGGTGGGCATGGCTTGGTGATCATGTTATTGACTGGGTGTGGCCAACTCAACATCACTCACATCGAAGCATGCATCTCCTCGCCTGGCCTCTCGTGACTGTGGGGATGCTGCAACAGTCGCAAGTGTGAAAAAGGGTCATAAGTCACTTTTTTCAGTGCCATTGTAACTTTGAATGGTCACTCCACACAAGCAAAGTACCAGCAAAGGAGGGGGGAAAAACTCCAGAGAAGTTCCAGAGACAGGAAGTCTAGTCCTGCCAAGAATGTAATAAGGGTTAACGGAGAGGCAGTTTCTGTAAGCAACACCAGAATGTTTCCTTCCTGCCTTCCTTACAGGATTAGGCCAGTAATTTCTTCTAACAACCGGTTCTCTGAACTGCTTAGAATGTTAACAACCAGTTCTAGCAAATAGGTGCGAACTGGTAGAATCCCACCCCTGCTTTGCGCACATGCACACACTTTGCGCATGCGTGCCAAACATGCACTTGTGCAGGCACAGAGGCGTTCCAACTCCTGCAAGCTTGCACTCTCAAAGCAGCTGCACTTCAAAAGCAGAGGATAAAGGTGAGTATGGGAGCCCAGGTGGGCGAGTGGACCCAACAGCAGAGCAGTAGAGAGAACCGGTTTGGTCTCCGCTGTTCATTGCTGCTACCGGCTCGGTAGAACCGGGCCGAACCGGTAGAATACCACCCCTGCTCCAAGGTCTCTTTCAGCTCTATTGTGATTGATTGAACCCAAAAGCTCAGAAGACTAAACCTCTGGTCTCAGTGACTGACCCAGATTGCATCTTACAACATTAACCAGGGACATGTACATTTCCCTTTATTCGGAAGCCAAATTGATCACAGAACTCCACAGACAGGGGTGTTACAATGAGTGACGGGACTTTGTACACCTTTATTAAATAAATGCAAAAAAACACCATTACATTTCCCTCCTCCTGAGAAAGAGAGGTTGACAGCAAACCCGTTTCGATCCAGAATAGTGAGAAGTGTTTAAAACATGGCTATCCAACCTTTTGGCTTGTCTGGGTTGCATTGACTGAAGAGGAATTGTCTTGGGCCGCATATGAAATATATAATATAGTTCATGTATATAAATCATATCATAACATTACAAGTTTACGATCTTGTGGGGCCGCATTACTAGCTCTCCAGAGCTGCATGCGGTCCCTGGGCCATAGATTGGATGCAGCTGGTTTAAAGAAATGCAGACCCAAGTTCTCTACCTAGCATTAATGTCAGTACTAATAAATGAGTAATACAATGAGCCGTATCTGGGGCTCATTCTCATATGAATGAGTTGGCCTGGCCACCAATTGCTTTTGCAAACCAAGGAAATTTTTATGCATTCAACACATACACTCAGCTTTAAATCCCCAAGAACTCAATCACATATGTTTAGATTTAAACAAAATTATACTGTAGTGGCCTTCCTCCAAAGAAATGCTACAGTAGAATGCAGATGAGAGCTGTTGAATGTCCATGCTAATAAGTCAGTTTCCCAAACATACCTCCCCTTCCCTTAGCCTTTTGCTTGGCTTGATCCTGGTTTGTAATATTTCTGAATCTCCAATTCTCTGGACTCTTATTTAGTCACACTGTTGGCTGGAATACAGCGAAGGACATAAATATTGTTGCTGTCTTGGCTTGCAAAGCTCTGTTGTACAGAAAGCCGTTTTCAAAACCCAACACTCCCCTCTGTGGGATGTTACGAGTCTTGCCTGTCAGATTTTCCGCGAGACCCCCATTTGATGGCATCTGGCAGAAGCTTTGCTGAATGCTTTTTTTTTTTTTTCTCATTGTGTCACTGTGAAATCTTCCCCCAGCCGAAACATTTGGTTGAATTCTAAAGAGGGAAGGGAAGTTGTGGTGCCTGGAGGAAGCACCACTGGAGGCTGTGTCCGACTCTGAAATTGCTCACAAGACTTGGCGTCTTTCAAGTGACCAGATGGGACATGGATTCTCTCTCCACATGTCCGTGAGAATGTATTTTACTGTGGGAAAATGAATCCCGATTTTGCGAAAGACTGTATGGCAATTTTGACGCATTGAAAGCTGAGCATTCGGATGAAAGCCGCAAGCACCAAGGGATTGTAACATTAATGTTCAATGTTTGGTTTTTAATTTGTCTTGGTGGTTCTTTTAAGGTTCGGTAGTCGCGGAACCTTCCATGGATGTCGTTTTTGTTACATGACATGCCATGCTCTGAAATCTCCCTAGTTACCCTAAACTTTTCAATCTTAAAACGCCTCCAGGTAAAAATCCACCTCTCCATGTTTTCCATTAGGATTTAACTGAAGCATGGGAAGCCATGTGCTGGGATTCAATTTTTTTTACTACCGGTTCTGTGGGCGTGGCTTTGTGGGTGTGGCTTTGTGGGCGTGGCAGGGGAAGGTTACTGTAAAATCCCTATTCCCTCCCCACCCTACTAACCTGCTTTCCAGCTCCGTTCTCCTGTGCAGGGCAACAAAAGGAGACCCAGCCGATCAGCTGGGACTCGGGAGGCGGAGAATAGGTGGGGTGGAGCCAGTCAGAGGCGGGATTTGCCAGTTCTCCAAACTCCTCAAAATTTCTGCTACCAGTTCTCCAGAACTGGTCAGAACCTGCTGAATAGCACCTCTAAAGGGATTGTATATCTAACGGCCAACTGAATGAAAACTAGTAGGGGGAAAATCTGCACAATGTTTACTGGTTTGCTTATTTACCCCCATTTAAAAAATGCCCGACTTTCAGTGACTCTTGGCACTTTACATTTTAAAAAAATTACAATAAAAATGAATTGTACTCTGTAGCCTTTGGAAAACAAGGAGTACAATGTATACAGTGATAAAATGTGGTATGTTCTACAAACTTGACATAAGTGATACTTCTACAGTCATCCTGGACTACATATATCAGTGTCACTGATATTTCTAGCCAAAAAGCTGCTTTTTCATGAGGCAATTGGACTTTCTTCTTTTTCTTTGAAGATGTTTTGCTTCTCATCCAGAGCTGAAGAAGGTTCTTGGATGAGAAGTGAAACATCTTAAAAAAACAACAACAAGAAAGCCCAGTTGCCTCTTGAAAAGTTGTCCCACCTTTGGGACAACTAAGACCTGGATGACTGAGAATCTCCAGTGATATTTCTACATTCATGCTTCTGAGAGATTATTTCAGGAAAGGATATAGAATATGAAGGAAGCATCTTGGTCAGGCTAAGTACTTATATTGTGGTACATAATAAGAGTAATTGGCCAGATGTCATGATTGTACAAGCTTGTTCATTTCAGCCATGACAATAACTCACTGACTGTACTGAAGCATAATGCCAAATGGACCTATCATGTTCCCTCAACTTATAACCAGTTGTTTAGTGACCATTTGAAGTTCACCAGTGGAACAACTTGCCTCCAGAAGTTATAAATGCTCCAACACTGGAAGTTTTTAAGAAGAGATTGGATAACCATTTCTCTGAAATGGTATAGGGTTTCTTGCTTAAGCAGGGGGTTGGACTAGAAGACCTCCAAGGTCCCTTCCAACTCCATTATTCTATTCTACATTAGTATTGCATTGGAAAAAAGTGAGTGTTGCAGCATCCTTACAATCACGTAACAAAAAATTCGGATGCTTGTCAACTGGTGTTTATTTATGATGTATCCTGTGATCGCTTTTTTCAACCCTCTAACAAGCAAAGTCAATGGGGAAGCCAAATTCACTTAACAACTATTTTACTAGTTTAACACTTGCAGTGATTCGTTTAACAACTGTGGCAAGAGCAGTCGTAAAGTGGGGCAAAACTCACAAGTCTTGCTTAGCAATGGAAACTTTGGGTTCAATTGGTGCTCGTGATTCGAGGACTGCCTATCTAGCAAGGAAGCAGAGCCTTGTGAGGTCTTGTGAGCCCACAAGTCACCTTTGTATTATAAGCTGTTGGATTTATAATCATCCAGGGGACAGGCTTATCGGCCATTTATTATACGCATGACACTTTCCTTCTGAGATCTCTTACTCACAATACCTAATATTCTCTTTATCCATTTTTTTCTCTCAAAATGATAGGTCTGTGAGTTGGGTTGATAGAGAGAGACGGACGCAGTGATTTTCACAAAGAGAGTCAAAGCCCTTTCCTCTTGTATGGATGTCAGGCTTCTAATTCAATTTTTTTTTATCAATATGCTAATGTTATCTACCTTTCTTCCCTTATATAATATACAAATTGGCTTCAATTGACTAGATGATGAATAAACAACAGTATCTCTTTTACTAAGAAGCATATTGGCATTTTGAAGACATTGTTGTCATTATGTCTAGTCAGTATGGCTATTACAGGATACATATTATAGTAATGTAATTTATCTGTCTAACAAAGAGAAGGCTTAGGGGTGATATGATAGCAGTATCTTCCAGTTACTTGAGGGACTGTCACAGAGAACAGGGGGTGGGGGTCAATCTATTCTCCACAACACCTGAGGTCAGGACGAGAAATACTGAGTGGAAGATCGTGAAAAAGAGATCCAACCTAGAACTATGGAGAAATTTCCTGACAGAGGGGACTATTAATCCATGAAACGTCTTGCCTCCAGAAATTGTGGGTGATCCATCATTGGAGGTTTTCAAGAAGTGCCATTTGTCTACTTGAGCAGAGGACTGGACTAGGAGATCTCCAAGGTTCCTTCTAATCCTATTATTCTATGTTCTATTTAAGATGGCGAATAAACAACAAATAGGTTGGCTCACACAGTATCTCTTTTACTAACAAGGTACTGACATTTTGAAGAAGCTGTTATCATTACATGATAACCTGTTGTTCTCATCTCCTTTTTTTCTTGATCCAGTATCTTCTGAAAGCCAACGAATGCCAAATGAAGCAAGGGCCAGATTTTCTGCAGAGCCTCATCAAGTTTTATCATGCGCAACATAAGTAAGTTCACCACAGTGTTGGGTTTGCAGTTTATGACGGTGTCTCAGCATTTGGATGGGCTTCTTGAGTAGAACTCAAGCCCTTGAGGCTGTTTCAAATAATAGGAATAGGAATATTCTTTATTGGCCAAGTGTGATTGGACACACAAAGAATTTGTCTCCGGTGCATAAACTCTTGGCGTACATGCAAACAACAAAGTGATATGTCATAGATCATCAATCATAAGTTACAATCACAAATCGTAAGATACAAACAACAAATGATAAATCGTAAGGTACCAACAGGTGAAGGTGGTAAGATGATAAGATAAAAAAGATGAGAAGGATAATAGCAATACAGCCCTACTTTGTGGTTAGATATCCTTAGATATTCTTAGGCATAAGACAGTGTTGTAGGAATTGAGTGATGGCATGGGGGAAAAAACTGTCTCTGTCTAGGTGTTTTAGCATGTAATGCTCTATAGCAGGGGTCCTCAATCAAAGACTGGTGCTGGGCTGCAGCAGGCCATAAACAGGGCCACGCAAACAAAGCCCCATCCATGGGATGCAGGCAACATGCGAAACTAAGTGCTGTCCGGTCTGCATAAAAACCTCTCTCCATGGAACCAGTCCCTGGTGCCCAAAAGGTTGGGGACCACTGCTCTATAGTGGTGTCCTAAGGGAAAAAGTTGAAACATCTCTGTTTCAAATGTGGTTAAACACCCAGAGCTGCGGTGGTGCAGTGGTTAAGAGTGCAGTACTGCAGGCTACTTCTGCTGGCTGCCAGCTGTCTGCAGTTTTGCAGTTCATATCTCACCAGGCTCAAGGCTAAGGTGGGTAAAATGTGGACCCAAAATTGTTAGGGGCAATATACTGACTCTGTAAACCGATTAGGGAGAGCTGTAAAGTACTGTAAAATAGTATCTATCTAAGTGCTATTGCTATTGCTATTCTGTAGCAGCAAATTGAGCTAACCTCTCCCTGTTTTCTTCTTCTTTTTTCCTTCTCCATCCTTGGCTTTTCAATATTTCTCCGCTGATTTAAAAAATGTTTCCAGTTTCTTCCAAGATGGCTGGAAGGCATCGCAGAATCTCTACCCATTCATCGAAAAACTAGCCACCTCCTTACATGCAGTAAGTTGTTCCTGGATTTCCACAGGACTGTGAACTTAATGCTCAGCTCTGGGCTTACAAGCATTGCTTTCCTAGCTAGGAAAAGGACTGGGTTGCTAGATCTTCAGAAAGCCCAGGTAGTCCTTGACTTACAACCATTCGTTTAGTGACTGTTCAAAGTTACAAGGGCGCTGGGGAAAAAGTGACTTATGGCCCGTTTTTTTACACGACCATTGCAACATCCCTGTGCTCACATGGTCAAAATTTTGGACCTTGCAACTGACCTGTATTTATGAAAGTTGCAATATCCCAGGGTCATGTGATTACCTTTCCTAACAAGCAAAGTCAATGGGGAAGCCCTGTTTCTCTTAATAACCATGTTACTAGGATTTAATCTGGGTCAATCTGAGCTTTTGGATTTGTGCTGGAGCCCATCCAGGGGTGGGATTCTATCAGTTCGCACCTATTCGCTAGAACCGGTTGTTAACATTCTAAATAGTTCGGAGAACCGGTTGTTAGAAGAAATTACTGGCCTAATCCTGTAAGGAAGGCAGGAAGGAAACATTCTGGTGTTGCTTACAGAAACTGCATCTTCGTTAACCCTTATTACATTCTTGGCAGGACTAGACTTCCTGTCTCAGGAACTTCTCTGGAGTTTTTTCCCCCTCCTTTGCTGGTACTTTGCTTGTGTGGAGTGACCACTCAACGTTACAATGGCACTGAAAAAAGTGACTTATGACCGTTTTTCACACTTACGACTGTTGCAGCATCCCCACAGTCATGAGAGGCCAGGCGAGGAGATGCGTGCCTCGATGTGAGTGATGTTGAGTTGGCCACGCCCAGCCAGTCACATGACCTCCAAGCCATGCCCACCAACTAAGCCACGCCCAGAGAACCAGTTGTTAAAACATTTGAATCCCACCCCTGAGCCCATCCCCAGGAAACACCTCCCTCCTGGAATGTAGTAACCCTGCTACTAACTTAAGAACTGAAGTGATTCACTTGACAACTTGGCAGGAAACTGCAGGCTCCTTCTGCTGACTACCTCTGCCTGCAATTTGGCAGATCGAATCCCACCAGGTTGACTCAGCCTTCCATCCTTCTGAGGTTGGTAAAATGAGGACCCAGATTGTTGGGGGCCAGAGGCTGACTCTGTAAACCACTTAGAGAGGGCTGTCAAGTACTGTGAAGTGGTATATAAGTCTAAGTGCTATTGCTATAAAGTGGGGCAAAACTCAACAATTGTCTCACTTAGCAATGGAAATGTTGGGGTCAACTGTGGTCATAAGTCCAAGACTTCTTGACTTAAACTGTATACTGTACTTGACTACGACTATATATCACATCTTATAATTCAAAGCTTTGGGACCATTTACAGTGAGGTTCAATGGTGCAGGGGTTAGAGTGCAGTTAGTCCAGGGTACTTCTGCTGTCTGCTGGCTGCCTGCAATTTGGCAGTTCGAATCCCACCAGGCTCAAGGTTGACTCATCCTTCCATCCTTCTGAGGTGGGTAAAATGAGGACCCAGATTGCTGGGGGGAAATATGCTGACTCTGTAAACCACTTAGAGAGGGCTTTAAAGCACCGTAAAGCGGTGTATACATCTAAGTGCTATTGCTATTGCTATCAAGTGGGGCAAAACTCACTTTAACAATTGTCTCACTTAGTAATGGAAATGTTGGGGTCAACTGTGGTCTTAAGTCCAGGACTACCTGCATTTTTTTTTTTTTTACAATGCTTAGTCTGACCCATGGAATACCATGCTCACCCTTTCGGTTCTCTTCTGGGTTTCCTCTCCATACATGGTGCTCCCTCTTTGACAAGGGTCTCCAACCTTGGCAACTTTAAGCCTGGTGGACTTCAACTCCCAGAATTCCCCAACCAGAGCTTAAAGTTGCCAAGGTTGGGGACCCCTGCTCTATGAAAGTGTAGCCTTTGCTTCCTTTCAAATCCCACATCAGAACTTAGTTTCTCTCCTTTTCTGCCTATCCCTTGAGTGCGAGAAATCCATGCATCTTCCATTTGCCAAGATTGAGAAGCACTCTTCAGGTATGGCTGACTGCAAATGAGTTTTTGAAATTCTCCACCAAGCTACCCAGTGGAGAAGCTTGTGTGGATAATTTCTTTGCAATTTTGGTCTGGAGAACAAGAAATTATCCAGGGATTATTATTTTTTTTTGAAGGCAAGACGCCTTTCTTTTCACAGGGGCATTGCAACTCTGAAAACACAATGGAAGAGGCTCCTGCCTCCTCTTGGGATTTCATCCAAGCCAAAAAGATTACAAGAAGTTTTGGGGGAAAAAACTATTAATCAGAAAGCAGGAGAGCCACATGCTTCCCTTGCCAAAATTGTCACTAAACAAGCCCAATCCTGTATTCCCACAGGATAATTTCTTTGGGGATTTTTTTTCTCTCTCTTTTGAAATAAAACCCCAGAGCAATCTTTGTTTCCTCGAACCGAAGGGGACTTGAATGATGAGCAATTCTCTACCTGATTCTGTTTCTGAAGAATTAAGGATGGTGGCTTGCAATAATGAGAATCTTGGGGAAAGGACATGAGGGGGGAACACTATGATTTAATCTGCACATCTGGGTAGATGGTGCTATTTGCATAAAAATATCTATGTTTTCCATAGAGAAAATTAGGAAGAAATCTCCCTTTTTCTCTCCTGCAAACCGCTTTCTGTTCCCCCAAATTCACTGAGCCTACATTAAAGTAAAGGGACGCGGTGGCTCAGTGGCAAAGATGCTGAGCTTGTTGATCAGAAAGGTCGGCAGTTCGGCAGTTCGAATCCCTAGCGCTGAGGAACAGAATGAGCTCCTGTTACTTGTCCCAGCTTCTGCCAACCTAGCAGTTTGAAAGCATGTAAAACTGCAAGTAGAAAAATAGGGACCACTTTGGTGGGAAGGTAACAGCGTTCCATGCGCCTTTGGCGTTTAGTCATGCTGGCCACATGACCATGGAGATGTCTTCGGACAGCGCTGACTCTTCGGCTTTGTAACGGAGATGAGCACCACCCCCTAGAGCCAGAAACAACTAGCACGTATGTGTGAGGGGAACCTTTATCTTTACATTAAAGTAAGTTGGACCCTTCTAAGGCCTGTTGTTATTTTTTACCTTGTAATCTTCTAGCTGAAGAAAGCAATGCCTGAGGGGATCTGGGACAACTCGCTGTGGTCAACTCGTCATGGCCAACTCATTGCGACCAACTCGCCACAGGTCAATTCACCATGAGGCAATTCAACGCTGTATTGATCATTCCGTTCAGTTACTTTGACTCTTGGTGACCACATTTTCGTCAAAAGTATTGCAATTCTTGTGGTTTTGGATTGACTTTATTTTATTACTATTAGCCACTGATCCATTGAAATTAATTTAACTTTTGTATTTGTTGAATTGTCCCACATCAAGTTGACCATGGCATGTTGTCCCATTCTGTGCCTGAGGATGTGCATTAGAGTGCATAGGATAGCTCCAACTTGCTTGTCCTTAGCAATTTCTAATCTTATTTTAGCTTCGTCAAGCCAAGGAAGAAGAGGTAAAACAGCTCACTCGGATCCGTGATTCCCTCCGAGGCATCCTGCAGCTGGAGAACAAAGGGGTAAAACTTCAAGGGTCCTTTGGGAAGGTGGGGAGAGGGTGAAATGGGGGATGGGCTTAATCAGGACTTCCCGGGGTCTATGACAAATTGCAATGGATGCAACGATTAGCTATTTATTTATTTTTTGCAAAAGTTTGGCTATGCGTGTTTCTTTTCTTTTCTTTTCTTTTTCTTATATGTATCCATGTATTCATAACTATGTTTTTTTACTTATGCCTATTATCTTGTAAGCAATTGACAAAAATAAATAATAAATAAATAAATATCTTCTGAACAAAACTCTGCATTGGCAACCGGAAGGGCATCCGGCCATTAAAACACTCTGCTAGCTCCATTCAGTTGCCCAGATTCCACCCCGCAAGGGATTATGGGGTCATTAAATGGAGATGATGATGGTGTGTGAACACATACCCAGGTAGTCCTCAACTTACAACCAAGGTCGTTTAGTGACCGTTCGAAGTTACAATAGCACTGAAAAGGGGGGGCTTATGACCGCTTTTCACACTTAGCGATGGTTGCAGCATCCCCATGGTCAGGTGATCAAAATTTGGGGTGCTTATCAACTGGTTCATATTTATGACAGTTGCAGTGTCCCTAGGATCATATGATCCACCTTTTGTGACCACCTGATAAGCAAAGTCAATGGGGAAGCGAGATTCACTTAAGCATCTTACTAATTTAATCTGCAGTGATTCACTTACAAACAGTGGCAAGAAAGGTTGCAACATGGGACAACTCACATAGCTGGTGTCTCGCTTAGCAACAGATACTTTGGGCTCATTAGTGGTCGTAAACTGAGGACTACCTAAATGCAGGAGTGGTTGGATATGTGTGATGTTTGTAGATATATGTGAATTGACTAAAGAAAAGCTATACAATAGCTAAAAAACAAAACAATTTCCCTAAATTTCCCATGTCCTTTCTTTCAACATTTAAGTTCTGATTTATAGTAACCATCTGCACCACAGAAAGTTAAGTGTGTTGATTAGTTGCTGAAAAGTTGCTGATCTCTCTTTTAGATTTAAGTATTTTTCAAACTTGGCAACTTTTAGATGTCTGGACTTCAACTCCCAGCATTCCCCGGGCAGCTCAGCAAAGAGCAGGCTGGAGAATTCTGGGAATTGAAGCCCATGCATTGTAAAGTTGCCAAATTTGAAAAACCCCATTTTTAGATCGTTTGGAATCCAACTGCTCCCCATCACCCCTGATTTGTATGCTCTTTCAATTTCAACAATGCTAATTAACAGGCTGCAAGCCTATAAAACTGTCCAAGAATATTTTTCATTTGCTATCTTTTTTTCAGCTCAAACAAGTCAGTCTGGCAGATTGGATTTTTAATAGCTTGCTTTGGCTTGCCAGTATGTGGAAGGAAGCCATCAGATAGTTCCAAAAGGGATTTTAAGCAACAGCTTAAGCATGAGATGCTATGAAATACCCTAAGAACTGTTGAGTGGCACCTGGTGGGTGCCAAGATACGTATAGATTTCTGCCTTGGTGCCTACCAGCTCTTAGCCCCGTGGCACATTAAAGGTGGTTTAAAAATACATTTAATTTTTTTTATAAAGTTATTTGCCAACTTCCAGCTTTATTTTTATTTAAAAGAATGCCTCTTGGACCCAAATAAGTTATATTAACTTTCTTAGAAAATAAATAAATGGTGGGACATCTCTGTAGGTGATAAGTCTACCTACCGAGATGAGGTGGACCGGTTGCTTTCGTGGTGTGGAGACAATAACTTTGTCCTCAACAACACCAATAAGACCAAGGAGCTTATAGTGGGCTATGGAAGGAACAGATCAGACATCCAGCCCTTGCTTATCAATGGGGAGACCAAGTGGAGCAAGGGGCCAGTTTTAAGTTTCTGGGTGTTACCCTAAAAGAGGACCTGACCTGGGGTGCTCACATTGCAGCCCTGGTTAAAAGGGCCCAGCAGAGATTGTACTACCTGAGACTTCTCAGGAAACAACAACTGAATGAAAAACTGCTGGTGACCTTCTACTGCTGCACCATAGAGAGCATTTTAACTTACTGCCTCTGTGTAGGGTTTGCCAATTGCACAGTGGCAGATAGGACAGTGCTCCAGAGGGTTAACATCATTGCCCAGAGGATCATTTGTTGCCCTCTCCCCTCTTTGGAAGAGCTTCATAGCTCCCACTGCCTTAAGAAAGTTCAAAATATTCTCAAAGATCCATCTCATCCTGGGCACCCTTTTTTTGAACTATTACCATCTGGCAGACGGTACAGGATAATAAAGACAAGGACAAATAGGCTGAAAAACAGCTTCTATCCCAGGGCAGTAGCTCTGTTGAATTCTATTGTATCGTGCAGTGTGGGTGCGATGTCGGGGGTTTTCAACTCAATGTATGGAGTGTAAAGGATGCGTGTTTGTGTTTATTTTCATGGTTATGATGTGCACTGAAGATGGTGTTTGATTTCGTTGCACGAGGCACAATGACAATAAACTAAACTAAAATAAGAAAAATGTTCTCGGGTCCAAATCAAGATGCTGGTTTTGACCTTCATGATGTGGGCTCTGTTTTTTCAGGGACTTTTCTCCCTAATTATATCAGCCCGTCCCATCAGATGGGGGCATGCTAGGAAGCTACATTTGGTGGGTCCCACAAGATAGGCCTTCTCTGCTGTGGTGCTTGTTTTTGGGTCACCCCTCTGCCCCTGAAGTGAGGCTGGCCCCATCCGTGCTGATAAGTCCCTCCAAGCCTGGTTATGGCATTAGGCCTGGGGTCTATGAGGCGACTCCATTGTTATTAATATCTTCTGTTTGCTCTTGGCCTTCTGTTTTTAATTTTTTTAAAAAAAAATTTTTTATATATATTAGTTGTTTTAGTCATTTTATTATAAATCAACCAAAATCACTTTTTCATCAGATGAGCAGCCATATAAATTTGACAAATAAATAAGTCATTGCATATATTCCAAGGCTTTTTGGAGGACCTGACATTCCAAAATGAATAGCAAGAAGCCAGAATAATTGAGAGCATTTATGAAAGCTAAAGCAGTATTTTTCAACCCTATCAACTTTTAAGATTTATGGACTTTAGCTTCCAGAATTCTCCAGCTAGTATACTAGCCTGGGGAATTCTGGGAGTTGAAGTTCACAAATCTTAAAAGGTGTTTATGTTGAGAAACCCTGGGCTAAAGGATGGGGTAAATAGCAAGATGGTAAACAGGGTTGTTCTGTGTTGCATGAATTTGCGAGCCACTGGCAGCCATCTTGCCAGAGCACCCATAACTCTTATCAAAATCTTCAGAATGCTTACACTAGAGGTGTCAAACTCAAGACCCAGAGACCAGATCCGGCCCACAGGGTGCTAAAATCTGGCCCACGGGGCTGGCCTGGAAATAGCAAAGGACTGGCCAGTGCTGTCAGGATTCTGGCAGTTACCCCCATTTAAATTTATTGATTTATTGGAAGTTAAACTGTCCGGCACTGCCTGGGTGTAGCCGACTCTTGAGGCACATAATTCATGGTTACCCTTGATCCTGGTTTTCCCCCACCCCCCCTGGGTGTATCGTAATTTATATTCTCCAATGGGACACATCCATAGCCAAGAGTCATCAATCATGCTCTCCAGTTAGAATTTTGTGCGCCAGAAATTTTAGTCACCTAGTTCCTATCTTTGAAAATATTTGTGGAATGCCGTTTCAGTTTGCGCTGCACTGGTCCCCCCCTCCCTTTCTGTTGGCAACTCTAAAAAGACCATAGAAATATTTTATGAGTTGACATGCGGCAGCCAAAATGGTATGCTGGGTGGGCATGCCCCCCCATGCCCCATTTTCGGCCTGGCTGCCCTATTGCAGCACTCTGCTGGCCAAAATGGGGGCAAGGTGCTGCAGGAGACATCTGTCCTGTCTCCCTCCCTCCCCTGGCTGGCCCATGGAGAAATCCAATTTGACAGCCCTGGCTTATACACAACGTTGGGAAATGCCCAGGTTACGCTACGAAATACGTTTATTTCTCTTGCATTCAGGAGAACCTCAACCGAAAGAACTCTGGCAGTGGGTACAGCATCCATCAGCACCAAGGCAATAAACAATACGGGACTGAGAAGTCTGGCTTCTTATATAAGAAAAGTGATGGGTAAGCTCTTGGAGTGCTTTGTGCTACCTCACAGGTTGGGATGGTGGGTGGAAATGAGCATGTTCCAAGATGCCTTAATCAACATTTTATTTTAATTGACCCGTTCATTTCTGAAAGGTCACCACTTGTCAAGGGCTCAAACACTCTCGCCAGAGGTGGTATTCAGCAGGTTCTGATCGGTTCTGGAGAACCGGTAGCGGAAATTTTGAGGAATCCAGAGAACTGGCAAATACCACCTTCTGACTGGAGATTTTACAGTATCCTTCCCCTCCCTCTCCCACCAAACCACACCCACAGAACTGGTAATAAAAAAATGTGAATCCCAACACTGACTTTTCGCCCTGCTTTCAAGAGCAACCTGTAGATTGCCCGCCCTCAGTCCCTTCTTTCCACACCTGTCATCATCTCATCGAAAGGACATCTTTCAGAACTTAGATATGTGGGCATAGCTCCAGAAAAGGATTGTCATGCAGGCCTCTTCCATTTCTTACATCTGAGAAAGTAGGCCTACGACATTTTGCTTGGGAAAATTCTCACCACGACGAAACTTGTTCAGTGAGGAGGTACTGGGAGGAGGCGGTAAAAGGTACTGTTTTCAGAAAATGAATTGTTTCAGGAATACCGGAATCTCATTTATTTCCCTTGGATCAGACCATGTCTGCCATGAATCATGTAGGATCAGCCCTGGAATTGCCAGACTGACATTGTCTGGAAGGTCAAAAAAATCATTTTTCTTTTTTTCCTGGAAAGTCCCATTTGCTAAATGGTATATTTTGCATATTCCCGTTTGGCTTTTACAGTGCTAAAGCATTTTACTTTTTTTTTTTTAACCATCACCTTGTTCGCTTAATGATAGCCTATACATTTAGTAGTTGACAGACAAACAGATTTATTCCTGAAGGGATGCACTGCTTAGCAAAGGGTGGCAACTCCGGATCTACAATAACAGGAAGTATAGCATGTCCATTTGATGACCTCTGACACACGCTAACTCTCAATATTGTGTTCATTGTCCTTCCTCTTTGCTTGTCCTAGAATTCGGAAGGTGTGGCAGAAGAGAAAGTGTGGGGTGAAATACGGATGTCTCACTATTTCTCACAGCACAGTAAGTAGGGTAGAGGGTGGAATTTCTTCGCTGAAAAATTCCAGATTAAAATGGCTTTGGGGGATGTTCGTAGGCTTAACCTGGTTCTGGTGTCATCCATGTTTTGGTTTTTGCACAGTACGTGCATTAAGTGAGCAGGATGGATGCGAAGAAGGTGCTAAGACTGGATAAAAGAACTAAATAGAGCAGGGGTGTGAAACTTGATTCCATTGTGGGCCGCATCAGGGTCGTGGTTGACCTCGGCCGGGGTGGGTGGATGTGGCCGGGGTGAGGTTGGCCAGCTTGACAACACTCGTGTCGGGGGTGTCTGTACTGGCTCGAGTGCTCTGCTAGCGAAAATGGGCTCCCAATCTCTGTTTTTGGCCGTGATGGCCTCCTGCCACCTTCTGCTAGTAAAAATGGAGCTGGGGGGGGGGGCACACACGACCCCCACCCCAAGTTCTGTTTTTACTGGCAGAAGGTGGCAGGAGGCCATCACAGCTGAAAATGGAGCCCGGGAGGGCCGCGCACGATCCTCCCAATCTCTGTTTTCACTGGCAGAAGCACTGCGAGCCAGTCCTTCGCTGTTTCTAGGGCAGTCCTGTGGGTCAGTTCTAAGCACCCCATAGGCTGGATCCAACCCCTGGGCCTTGAGTTTGACACACACACACCCCGTAATAAAAGCGTAGTGTGTTGTATGAACATAGCTGATAGGCTTGTCCAGAACAGTCGATTTCCTTCTGGATATGCTATTCCACAGGACCATCCCCAGCACAGCATAATTCTAAAAGAGGTTCTGGTCTGTTCTGGAAATAAGCAGAACATTCTAGAACTCTCCAGAACTTTCTGTTCCCGGATCGCGGGCTTTTGCACATGTCTGTTTATACTGACCTGATTAAACCTATTGCCTGAACATAGCCAGTGAACATGGCATGGAAAAGGTCCAGTGATTCGTTTGATTGTGCCCTCCAAGGAAGAGTGCAAGGTACTGGGAATATGTCATATTCTCTTGGAATGTGCTGTGGTAGGCCCAGGTCTTCTCACATGAGGAATTTAAAGAGGTAATCCATCTGGTTGTCTTTGACACTGAGAGGCCAGGTCCCTGCAAAGTAGATTTCCCTGCAAAGACAAATGGACACCATTGACCACCTGTCTTGCCTCGGCTACAAAATTTTTAGGGGGGAAAAGAAATCAGCCGTTCCTGAACATTGAAAGTGAGTGAGTAAAGCTTGGAGAGAAATGGAATAAAAAGTGGAATAGAAAAATACAGGTGGCTATTTAAAAACCTTGTAAATTGCACACAAATCCATTGAGATGTCTACATGAGAGCAAATTTTCCAGGCAGGTCTTAAAAGAAATTAATTTGTGGAAAAATTTGGTGAATTTCTTTATAATGCCAGGCTTTTTAAACTTTCAGTCTTTATCTGATTATATTGTCCGCTTTATATCCAGTTGCGTTCTTCAGTGCTACACGGCAAATAAATATCTTGAATGTAGAATAAGAGCAAATGTCAGTAATTTGATTGATTGGTAATATTTCTCCATTATTACTCAATCTGAGAATGTGATAAAAGAATTAGGAAATACGGGTAGTCCTCGAATTACAACAGTTCAATCAATGACTGTTTGGGGTTACAATGGCACTGAAAAAAGTGGCCTATGACTGTTTTTAACACTTACAACTGTTGCAGTCATGTGATCAAAATTGAGACACTTGGCAATTGACTCATATTTATGACGGTTGCAGTGTCCTGGGGTCATGTGATCACCTTTTACGACCGTCTGACGAGCAAAGTCAATGGGGAAGCCAGATTTGCTTAACAACCATGTTACTAAATTAACAACTACAATGATTCACTTAAGAACTGTGGCAAGGAAGGTTGTAAAATGGAGCAGAATTCACTTAACAAATGTCTCACTCAGCAACAGAAATTTTGGGCTCAGCTGAGGTTGAGGACTACCTGTAATATTTGTATTTGGCGGACACGCTGGTTCATTATCCCAACTTTTCTTGAACAGATAAACCGTCCTCCAGTAAAGTTAAATCTCTTGACTTGCCAAGTGAGGCCGCATCCAGAGGATAAGAAATCCTTTGATCTTGTGACACGTAAGTAAACATTTTATCATAATACTTGGGCTGTGTTGTCCTCTTTAAATATCTTGCGCTGGAATAGCTCAGAACAGAATGCTTTTTCTCACATTTCTGTCAGGTTAAGTTTAAAATTGGTTGGAGACAGTTATTTGAAGCAATGAGAACTAGATTAAAGTGAAAAAAAATATCACCACCCACTCATCATAGCTACAAAATGTAGTGTTATTTTTTTTCCACCGTGAAACATACGCAGGTCTCTACGTAGGAGTAACTGTAGTCTTATCTACCAATAGCAATCATTATTCTGTCTGCACTGCCCATGAATTTTGCTCTGTATGCTTGACTCGTGGAATAATTTGTTCTCATGACTTGAAAACCAGGGCAGTGTTAATAGTGCCTAAAATCACTTTTTTTTTGGCAGTTGCATTGCACTGCCAATCCATTCTTAGGTTACGACCAGTGGTGGGTTTCCAAATGGTTTCCTACCATTTCTATGGGCGGTTCTATGCACGCACGCTTCGCTTGCGCGCGGAGGGCTCAAAGACAGACCTCTGTTGACGCTGGTAAGCGTCTCTCTCTCTCTCTCCCCCTCTCCCTCCCTCCCTCTCTCTCCCTCTCTCTCCCTCTCCCTCCCTCCCTCTCTCCCTCTCTCCTTCTCCCTCTCTCCTTCTCCCTCTCTCTCCCTCTCTCTCTCCCCCTCTCCCTCCCTCCCTCTCTCTCCCTCTCTCTC